GGGGGGGGAAGGTGTGTGCAAAGGCAGCGTTGCAAAAGAAAGTCGTTTGCTGTGATTGCAAAGGAAATCCCCGACGGTTTTTGTTTTTTGACAGGTCTGGTGCTTTCTTTCTTAATTCCGGAGTAAACCCCATTGACGTACACAGAACCTCCTTTCCTCCTAGCAAGCGTGCAAAGGAAGGCAGGATTTTGACCGCCTTTTCCCCCCCCCCCAAATTATTTTGCAACAAGTTGCATGGGGAAGGTTAAATAAAAAAAAATAGATAAAACTTTCTCCCTTCTCAATAACTTTTGTGCTGAGCCTGCTTGGCTCTTTGGAGAAGGGCTAATATTTGTGGAGACGTGTTTGTCTTGCAAATAAAAAATGGCTTTTGCAATAATGACAAGGCGGTCAAATGGGGGAGAAGAGTAAGGAAGAAGGGTGTGGAGACCAAGGGGGAGAAACTTTGTATTTTAATGTACAGAGTCCCAGTTTGGGAAAAAGGCGGGATATAATAATGGTAGTAGTAATAATAAAAAATGTGGGTCCTCCCTGGTGTGTTTTTGTGTGTGTGTGTGTGTGTGTGAAAGAGAGAGAAAGATCCTATTCCAGCGTGTGCATGGCTTTGGTGGGTGTGTTTTTAAACTAAACTGCCAAAGAGTTATGGCGGCTTTTAAGTTCCTTTCCTTGCACTAACTTTTCCAGCAGCTGAACCAGAAGCTCTTTGAAGCAGCAGATTCCCTCTTTGACTCTTGAGAGTGGGATGGCTTTCCAGACCCCCTGAAAAGAAAAAAGAAAAAAAGGTTTAAAATTGCAAATAAAGTGCTTGGAGAGCGGGAGGGACTTTTTTATTAGTTGTCAGGCTCATGGAGGATCAGCAAAAGCTGCAGCCACAAAGGGAGGAGGAGGAGAGGCCCTTGCAAAAAAAGGCAGGGACTCACAGCAGCAAAAGATTTGCAAACCTCCTTTCCTTCCAAGGCGCCTTTGCGTTGCACCGTGCACCACTTTTTTTTTGTTGTTTTTGGTCTTTGCTCTTTGCAGAAGGGCTAGGGTTAGTATTTTATATGATGTTGCTGCTGTTGTTGTTGTTGTAGGGCCATTGAAGTAGTGAAAATCCCAGACGTCATTCTTTGGTCCAAGAGAATTAAGAAGAGGATTGTTGCAAAACTTAAATGTAGTATAGCATTCTCTTTTTTTCCCCTCCTTAGATAAGACAAGGGACTTACTTCCCTCTTATCTATATCATTCTATCTTAAGGAGGGAAAGGAGAATGCAATACTACATACGTTTTGCAACAGTGAATTGTGTGTGTGTGTGTG